TATGTTGATTCGTTCTCGCTTTCTGAAGTTCATTATTCCAGCCGATTCAATCGCATTTCATAACGCAAGACGTGTATATTTTATACTTGTGGTAATGGCTACTTATTTTTTTGGTCGATTCTTCAACTTTTTTCTTCAATAATAGGCGTTTCTCTGCTAGCGAATTTTTGATGCTACCGCGATTGACCCACATAATAAGTGGCGAACGATTACTCACATAAAAAGTATATTAGAATGCATGCCATATGCTATGTTATAGCGACCTACCACGTACGTAAGTATTTTAGTAACCGTTTCGATTCCCGCATTCCAGTTTTGATCCGGGACACGACTTAATTCGTGGATGTACAATTTATCACAGGGACATGTGGATGTGAACGCTATCGCCCCGGTTTGTATACTAAGCACGTGCATGGGAAGGAGGTATGCATCTACGAAGAGTAAAGGCCCACAGAATAGGATTTTTAGACCCAAACGATCGACTATTCCGGTGGATTTTTTCACGGCCAATAAATACAAAGGTATGGGCTGTACTGCGAAAGGGCACTGTGTTTGAGAGTAGTACGCAAACATGTAGTTTTTTTGCGTGTAGGGAGGCCTATGCAGACGCTTGTAGCGAATAGATGGCAGCAAAATCACACATCAGCGGTTCGTATTCACAGCCTCGACACAAGTGCCTGTCCATATAATAACTACTCGCACACTTACGCTACGGGGAATGCTGTGAGATTACCTGATAACAAAGCGAGGGCTCATATCTGAACCGGATCAAATTACAGCTTGGCGCGTATAGGGATGTGTAGTGAATATTGATTATTGGTGAATACTGGGGTGAAGGCACTTTTGATTAGCTTGTCATGTTGCATTGCCTGTGTTGGTCTGATGGGTTACACCAATGGATATCTATGGCTACGATGATGTGATAATCGGTTTAGATGTATTGTATCGAATGAGACAAATTCGTCGTCACAATGTGGCGTTTGCTTTGTATTGGCATAGTTTCTGTATCATACTGGCTCTTTATGAATTCATTCACAACACAAAATAGCACGCTGAAAGGTATAGAGGGGAAGTAACCAATACATCAGAATGCAAAATCTATCGTGGTCTGGCGTCAGGAAACAGATTCTGATAGGGTGCGTTACTGTGTACCTACTTATTGTATGGGTAAATCGTCCTCCTCTTGGCTTTTAACCCTATGATAAGTCATCACCTTCAAATGACTTCGTATTTCATAGGGCGAATTTTAAAATGCCGCGTCGCACGATAGATGGGATGTTCTATGTCAAGCAATTGACCATTAATTCTCTTAGGGCATGTGTATCAACTCATATACTATATGATGTACCACCTGCATACGGAGAGATTTATTCATCAGTGGTTCAGATCCATCATAGGCCGCTTGAAATACGCCACATATTCATGATATGACATATTCTCGACGTACTACGTTATGCAGCGGAAGACGGAGATCTGAGTACCGTTAGCGAAGGCGCCACGGCTGGAGCCACTAAGCGAGCAAAGGTTTGTTGATGTTCTGGTATAGCATTTGTGCAAAAGAGTGTACAACCAAGCTACTACGAACGTGGTCTAAGTAGAGTATAGAATGATAGCCTGGTCATATTTTTCCATCGATGCAATAGCGTAGGGGGTTGGTGATTTTTATATATTGTGTGTTCTATTGATAGATTGGTATATTGCGGTTTGTGTTTCCGTGAGCGTAGGCAAAACTTTCAAATAAACGTTCATTCGTATCTTGCAGACGTCTACACATGCAATGTGGCGGATAACGGTAGCAGTTTATCTGTATGAAAATAAGTTTTATTGAAGTTTGGTAGAAGTGTATATTTTGAAGTATAGGTTGATTATCCGTTTGAGATAAAATATGCCTATGCGACTATTAAGGGAGACATCTATATGAATTTTCCGTGTAACTGCGAATTTGGTTCTGGACTTCAATTGCTGGTATCTAACTGACTTTGAACATGCATTTTTGCAGCATATTGCAGCGTAATTGTTCAGCCTTCAATAATCGATATATTGATCTAGGATACCACATGCCCAGTGACCCAAAATTGCGATTTGCACAATCGCTTTTCGGTGCTTGTTTTATACTTTCCTTTAATATCCGCAGCTATGTATCACTCTATCGGTGCACTTAAGGTGTATTTTAAAGTGTATTGGAGGTATCCAAGTGGAATAGGATTAGTATTGTACCTGAAGTGTAAGTCTGCATGCATTGTTGCTACTTACAATTAATCCTATTGAGGTCGCTACTTTAGAGGCTGGACTTGGTAGGCAAGGTTGTTAAGTCGATACGTTCGTACCTATCAGCTTGAGTTTCCATCTTATAAAGTCTGAAAGTTGTGCTGTTATATCGGAGTCGTGTCTGTCTACATCCTTCATACTAAAGTTAAGTACCATGCCCCATTTGCACTGCAGAAACGGCGAGTCAAGGACCCAGTCAAAGATCCAGAGAAGTATATTCCGACGGTACGTGAGCACCTGCACTGCTATCTATCCATACATGTGTATTCATGTCTGGAAAACATGTCAAGTGTACTTGTGAGGTTTATCTGATATTCTTACCCAACTGTCATCCTTCAGCTCTTGGAATATACACTACCAAGGCTGTTTGCTTGTTGAGTTATAGGCTTCATTGCTTGGACTGTGGGTTTTTTGGTAATAGGTTTCATTGCTTGGGCTGTATGTTTCATTTGTTGTAGGCTTCATTGCTTGGGCTGTATGTTTCATTGGTTATAGGCTTCATTGCTTGGGCTGTATATTTCATTAGTTATAGGCTTCATTGCTTGGGCTGTATGTTTCATTTGTGATAGGTTTCATTGCTTGGGCTGTATGTTTCATTGGTCATAAGCTTCATTGCTTGGGCTGTATGTTTTTTTGGTAATAGGTTTCATTGCTTGGGCTGTATGTTTCATTGGTTATAGGCTTCA